TTGTTTATCTGGATCATTTGAATCATTGGTTAATTTGAATCATTCGTTTTATTCGCTTTATTCTCTAAGTTAAGTAGACTCAAGTTAAGACTTGAATTCTCAAGTTCGGAGCGAGTTCAAGAAAATAGGCACTTAAATTGTTTTTTAGGTAATGCGCGTAAATGTAAATAAAGTATTAGAATTAATCTTTCGTTACTTTAAAAAATTTATGTAACATCAAACTCGAGTCTATTATTTCTTGATTCGTTCGGGAGCTTTAGTGTTGGCGTTATAATTTATTTTAGCTAATCAGACTTCGACTTTTTCATGAAATTCACTGCGCATTCTCAGCTAAAATCTTGTGTATAATCAGTAGTGTGTGTGTGTACCTTAACAGTTAATAAAAATATTTGTATCACAAGTTATATATTTATTTCACAAATAAAATTTTATTGTTAATATAAACAAACAAAACCGGATTTTTTTTTGTACGAAATATAATTTATTATTATTATTATTATTATTATTATTATTGATCACTAATTGGGAGAAAGTATACCTGGTAAAATCTATATTTTATATTGATGCAATAATATGCTTTTGAATAATTTAAATTTAGATAATTCCAACCAATGCCAAACTTTTAATGTTTATTTGTTTTGATGTTTAAAATAGAAATTATATAGACAAAATTATATATAAATTAATCCTAACTTCCTGCTTTTGTCAAATAAACCTGAAAATCTATTGATATCGGAGTACTTTGACCATACCCTTTTAATTGTTGTAGCTGAAAGTTTTGCTTCACCAATAATGTTAAAATAAATATCAATTAAAAACACTGTCGCACGAAATTTACTCGGCCTCAATTTTTTTTTCAAATATGAAATTTGTAAATAAATAATAATAATGAAATACCAAATAATAATATACAAAGAAAGAATTAATATTATTATTAATATTATCAGAGTATATATATCCTTACTTTATATATCCTTACTTTATTCGGATACAGATACAATGGTTTAATGTAATAAATAAATAAATCATAACAAAAATAATTCGCCCTTCTTATACTGCAAACAAATGCAGAACGCGTTAATTTGTCGATGTATGATAAATTAAAAAAGTCAAGTCATCAATAGATGTATAAGTTTAGGAAAAAATGTAAATGCAAAAATAAATTAATGCTTGGGTTTTGGAGCTAATATGAAACGGAATTTCTGTAAATACAATTACAATTAAATCATAAATATTATCTTTACTAGAAATAATTATAAAGATTGTTATTAGTAAAATCTTTTTATTTAATAAAATCTTTTAACTGCTGAAAATTTTATGTGGCTAGACATTTTGAAATAGTTAGCGGTAAAAAAAAAAAAAAATAAGATTAGCTATTATCCTTCTTGTTTTTATTTAAAAGAAGATCGTCGACGATCAATCATCTGAAATAGAAATAACAATACTAATAATAATAATAATAATAATAATAATAATGAATATTTAAGAATTTTCGATTTGTGTTGTGTTTAATTGTCTTATATTTGTACAAACCAATATGGCGACGTTTTTTATTATTATATTGTTGATGTTGATTGCTCCGGTTTTTATAAGTTGTGTTGTGATTGATTATAGGATGATTTTAAAAATTCACAATTACGTTTGTTTATTAAATTGTATATTTGGAATATTTGAACAAGTAACCAGTTAAAAATTGATGTCTTTATCATTAATAAATATTGTTTATAATTGGAATATTTTTTTTTACGAATAATAATTAGCAATATTTAAATATTTGCGTGTATTATTATTAGCATTTAATATTAATTAATATATTTTTATTTTATTGTGGCGGTTAAGTGTATCACGTTACATGGATTTAAAGTAAATGAAGGTTTGACTATTACCCAACCAACCAAATATCCTATATAATTGATTTTGTAGATCGTTGTAGTTATGATACGTTTCTCAAGGACACGATTGCGTGGCTATTGTATAAATTTTGCATAATTATGGTATTGGCTGAATTTCTTGATGTATATAATAAAAATCAAACATTTTATTAATCTAATACTTTTAAATTCGTTTAGAAGTCATTATTTTCCGATTATTAATTAAACAAATAACATCAATTGAATTAAAGAGTCTATATAAGGGAAAATAATTATTCATAATAATATATTGATAAAATAAATAAATCTGCATATTTTTATTTATATCTTCGTTTTCAATTTTCATTATCTTATAAATACATGCGTACTAAAATTTATGAAAAAAAAAAAATAGATTCCTTTTTTTTCACTAGTAAATATTAATTAATATTCTTAAAGTACATTTGAATAATAAAAGCAAATAAAACTTGTTAAATTCAAAAATTTATTATTATTATTATAACCTCCAAAAATTATAAATTGTCTTTCTTTTTTCAACTCCTATAATAAATATATATAATCTCAGAAAATTTAATAATCACTAATCTAATAACAATTATTTTGTCGATTTATTCTCTGATTTATTTTTACAATATCTGAGGGAAACAAACGTTCCTTATTATAATAATAGAGATTTCACACAAGACTGCGAGTGAATAGAAAGATTTAGAAGAATGAATATAACAGGCAAAGAAAATTGGAAAATGATTTCTCCCGAAAACGTTACTACATCGTCATCATCGTCATTATCACCACCATTACTATCTCCGCCGCCGTCGTCGTCGTCATCATCATCATCATCATCATCATCATCATCATCATCATCATCATCGTCATCACCGTCGTCATCATCGCCATTATCGTCATCATCAACTTTCGTTTCAACCAACGCTAAAGTTTGCAATGATGGCGTATTTGATACAGTAGGGAGCGAGTCATTGGTTCATGATAATACCCAGTGCTCGACTCAAGAAGTAGACCTCAGACAATTGCCTCCAGAAGAATTCAATAAACAATTGTCATTACTTAACCATTATCAACAATATATAGACAACGATGACAATGATATTAATGATAGTACAATGGCAACATTCGCTCTACATCCAAATGTCATCCGAGATATGATGGATCAACGTCTAGATAGTGTACATTTCGAACCATATGAAACTAATAATATCAACATTGATATTAGTCATTTTTATTTCGGAAAAAATCAAATTGGTCATGACGACCAATGCGATAACAATTCCTTCGGTTTTTATTAAATAATAATAACAAACACAAAAAAAAGTCCATGCATTATTCATTATCATTATACTACTACTATTGAATCGGGCAGGGATCGACATTTTAGTAGTGTGATAATAAGCAATTAAGAGTATATATGACGTCATATTTATTATATTACCCGTAGTAGTAGCAAATTTTATGAATTTATCAAATTATGCCATTATCGTCACTCTTTTAATTTTATGATATAATGAGAATATAAATATAAAAAAATTTTATTGTAAATATATATATAGTTATAACAAATAATAATAAATAATAAAACAAAATCATTATTCATTTGTAACAAAATCATCCATAGTTGATTGCTTCATATTGTATAGAATTTGAATAATTGCGAATGAAAATTTTGGTAGCATTAGGTTGAGTACATCAGTGAGTATATATAGTACAACCCATTTTTAGCCATTTTTTTGTTGTACTTGTATGCTTTTTTTGGTTGGGTGTGTGAGATCCGTAATTGTACTTGCTGTACTCAATCTAATTCTATTTATTACCTGCATATACCCTTGGGGTGTCTCACATCATATGATTTACAAACATAGTTGATCACATATATAAATTTCATTAATGTGGATTTTTTGGTGCCACAAAAAAATTTTTAAATTTATTATATACAAATTGGCAAACTTCGCACAATTACAAAACTCAAAATAACTCTTAAACTATATGTCATATTCAAATAAAAATTTATGTTTTAGATTCACTTTTTGATGCTCTTTAAACTAATAGAGAGCTTTTTACAATTTTACTTGCATAAAATTTTGTAACATATATTCGCAACTTTTACTTTGATTTTCTAGCTTAAAATAAATGCCATTGTTTATATTGAAATAAAAAAAGGGGCTCTATTACTTTATTGTCCTATTTCTCTAGTATGTTTTAAACTTAACTCGGAGTCAGTATCTCTACTCTTTAAAGTGTTATAATCATTCAAAGTTTACTATTGAAAAAAAAGATCGGCAAAAAATTGTCATATATGAAAATTAATGTGTGATCGACTATGTTTGTAAAATCATATAATGTACAGTAAGACACCCCAATATACCCTTATTATGTAATAGCAATATATTTGTTACACAAGACGTGCCGAGATTTTTTATATTGAATAGATAACTGGCATTGGTTCCTGGAAAAACTATGAATTTAAATATACTATTATTTTATCATGATTATTTATGCGAGAGATCTTGAAAAGAACGGGATGGGTGTGATTGGGCATTTTACGTAGTGATGAATACATTTCCGAAATTGAATTGTAATTGTACAGTAACCACAGACAGATGAGGTAGACATTTACTATTAATATTAACAAGTTACAATAACTGCATTAGTAGTAAAATTAATACAAAAAAAAATTTGGAGATAAAATTTCTTGTTAATAATATTTGTAAAAAAGAATTTATTATATTTAATATGTGATGTTAATTAATACTAATAAAATTATAATCATAATAATAAAACATGATATATAAAGTAACAATATAATAACCATATAATAATAATATCATAAATATCATAATGATAATATTAACCATATTAACCATAACAACCATAATAATAATAATAAACATAATAACCATAACAACCATAATAATAATAATAAACATAATAATAATGATAGTAATAATAGTAATAATAACATAATAATATTATTATTATTATTAGTAGTAAAACTACACAATCTATATTTTTTCTTTAATAAATTATAAAATTTCAAAAGGATTATTTATTAATCATAAAAATTAAATGAATTGAATGTTTGATCAGTATCACAATAATAACTATGAATATCATCATCTAGTGGACCTGCAATGTCAACGTCCGGAGCAATGAATGATGCTGCACCACAATAAAACAGTTCAGTAGCAATATCAAAATTATTGTTATTGTTATTATTATTATTATTAGATGCTTCGAAATGTACATTATCTATGAGATTTGCTTGTGGAATAATGGTAGCCAATTCATTTGTTCTAATATTATCTCCATTATTTATCAATGGTTCACTTTCTATTGGAACAAATACATCAGCTTCAGAACTGGTCGAAGAAAAACTTTCTAAAAGAAAAAGTGATGGAGATGTGGCAACAACGATTTCGTTATTATCAATTACTTTCCAATTTTCTTTAGCGATTTTTGCCAAAATTCTAAAATAAATTTTCGTTGAATTCGTGTCTTCTAAATTATTCCATACGCCAGCAGCATTTTGCGAAATCTTTATCATAGAGAACGTTTCATCCGGATACTTTTTTCTCAAATATTCACCAAAGTTCTTTAGGAATATTATCCACACATTTTGTATTCTTTGTGGGTTTTTTTTTGGTTTATTAGAAAAAGAAACCAAATCGTCTATTGTCATCTTTACGATGTCTGGTGGATTTTCGAGTAATTTTTTTTGCTCTTCTGATAAATTCAATATTTCAGCCAGCAATTTTATATTTGAGCACATATTTTTTTATTGATTAGAAAATAAATCGATAAAAGAATTGTTTAATAGTTGTTATTAAAAGTTGTTTTCAACTTGTTAACAAAAAATTTAAGAGGTGTATTTATAAAGAAAAACTTATATTCCCACGTTATATTTCGACTAATTAAAAATATCCATTGTGATGGGCTGATAATTAATGAGATAAAGAACTTCTTATTTGAATTTTGTTCTACTATCTTTAAACAAAAAAAAAAATCATAAATCGGCCACTAATTATTTAATTCAATCAATCAGTTGTTAAATTAGTCAAATCAATTATAATAATTAATTCACGCGTGATTTTCATATTCAGCCGATGGTTTTACAACCACACAACAACTAAAATTAAATAAAGGACATGTTGGGCTGAGCTGGTTATTTAATTAACTACTCTTTAGAATGTTGATCTACTATTTTTTTTTTTCAAAAAAAGGTTTTATATCGGTAATTAATTATTTAATTTTTTGTAATTGTTTATTTTCACGCGATCTTAATTAGTTCAATTGTGTTACATCCACGACGACTAATAAAATAACTTAAAAAGTCACGATGGGCTGAGCTTGTTTATTATCCAATAATGTAATTGACCCTCAATATTTGTTGTTCATTTCGCGCGTGTTGTCTATTATTTTGTAATGCTGCATATTAAGGGTGGTGTTTGATCGTCATAACTTTAATAATAAACTAACAATTGTTAAATAATAAATGAATCGACTATATAAGGCAATTAAAATTGTTATATTTTGTATACATGGCGCAGTCCACTGTTATTCGAAATAACCTTGCAAAGATCATCCAACAAATCTTTATGACTATTCCAAAATAGTTGTTTATAATTTTTTTGGACCCTTTCAACTAAAGTTTTACAAATATTTGTCGTATCAAATTTAACCCTTGAACAAGTCGATATATAAGAAATAAAATCCACTTTCGTTCTTATTGTTGGTCAATTTAATGACCGGTAAAAGTGAATCGACCAACTTTTAAAGAAGATTTTATGAAAACTATAAGGACAATAATCTATAGATCATTAGGTTGAATTCAAATACAATATTCATATTAGTAAACGATACTCTCGGAACCAAATTATGGAAGACAAGAAAAATCTTGACAAATTTTCTCCAAAAAATCATGTATAATGAATGGCTTATTGCCTCACCTAGTTTAATTAAAGATACCTGGCTTACGATAATTAAATTATTATTTCAAAAGATTGTTTTGAGTGATTTAGAAGCCGTGGATATATTAAATCAATACATCAAAGAATTATTTAATAAAGGAAATACTTAGCCGAGATGTCTGTTCTTTTTTAAATATACTAACTAACACTTTCTCACGCTTATATGCCTAATTTACTTTTTAAATATTTAACTAAATTTTTTAACTGTTTTCTTATAATTAAATAGGACAATAAAAAAAATTTTTTTTTTTTAATAATTGAAACAAACCAAATATTATCTTATTGAAAAAAAAAAAAAAACAAAAAAAAACTAAACTAAAATGTTAATATTAAACTTTCTTTGTGTATCAAAGTGAATTAAACTATTTTAAACTCCGGATTTTTATATATATAATAATAATGAGATCATTATTCAAACACAAACAAATTTTATTGGCAGTAAGGCGTAAATCAATGCACCAATTGTAATTACGGATTAATTTGCCATTTAATATAAACAAACCAAATGTCGTTGCATGGCAAACAAACATGATATTCATACATTAAATCAATGATTATGTAATAATATTATTTTTTAATTGTTCCCTTCAACATCAGAATTGAATTGGTTCTGAAATGGAAGAAAATAATAAACCATATGCCTGTGCATTTCTATAAGGTCATTAAATCTTTATAAATTTGGTATCATATGTGAACAAAGCCCATCAAGATCTTCTGTGTGTTAAATGGTCCATTTGCCAATTTGGTCACAAAGTTAGTCAGTCCAACAAATTAAAAACTGTGTATATATACATATATATATGCACCTTAAAATCAGTCCGAAATTGCAGAAACGTGGATAATGTATAAATAAATAAATAATGTTTATTATAATGGTAAAACAATTTTTGGGAATGAGCCTTTCAATGCATGTATATGCGTTAATATTGAATTTTCTCAAATTTTGAGTTATTATTATTATTATTATTATTATTATTATTATTATTATTATTATTAATACAACATAAAAAATTTGTTACACAAAATTTACTTATATATTAATATACAGTAGTGGTTGTATCCGCCGAACCAATTATCCGGTTAATTGGGTATTGAAAATTTTTCATTGATTAATTAATCGGGTGTTGAATAATCGGTGGTACAGAATATAAAAAATAAAAAATTTTATCCACGTAATTAATGTAAATAATATTTTATCACTA